CTGTCCTCTAGCATAAATGTGGATCATGATGTATATGTTCAACTAGCCAAAGCCAGTGCTGCCTTTGGAAAACTGACCAAACAACTATGGAATGACCATGGTATTAAATTCCATACCAAGATATCAGTTTATCAGGCAGTTGTCCTGAATGTCCTGCTGTATGGCTCGGAGTCATGGACAATATATCATCGTCATATTTTGAAGCTCGATCAGTTCCATATGCGTTGTCTAAGGAAGATTGCCCATGTGAACCGGTGGGACAAAATTCCTAATACGGAGGTTCTATGTATGGTGTCATAGAACAAACAGTTCTATGTTATGAACAAACAGTTTTGCTGGATTGGTCATGTTTGAGGATGGATGATACACGGATACTAAAGATGGTCTTCTATAGCCAGCTTGCTCTTGGAAAGCGCTCTATCGGTGATCAATATAAGCGCTATAAAGACATCTTAAAGGCCAATATGAAGTCATGCGGCATATCTCCTAATGACCTGGAAACTCTAGTTCAGGACAGACTGTCCTGGCAACAAACCATTGAACAGGCTCTTAATTACTCTGAGAGTCAGTGTATCCAGGCATTGCAGGAAAAGCGGAGGATCCAAAAAGAACATACAGCACCTGTAGTTGGCGGCTTTTTATGTGACATCTGTAATTGGCTGTGCCGATCAAGGATTAGTTTAGTTGCTCATCAAAGGCGTCATAGAAGATGAGATCCGTTGATTGACGGTTCAGTCCAAGAAGAAGTTGAAATCCCCCACTATTATTTTTGATGACCTCTCTAATCTCTCTTAGTATTTCAGAGTCACTATTGTTGTCCTGATCAGGTGGTCAATAATATATCCCTACTGCTATATTCTTATTATTGGAGCATGGAATTACTATCCATAGAGAGTCTATGGAACATTTTGGCTCATTTAAGATTTTTTACATCATTTTATTCTACATTTTCTCTCACATGTAATGCCACTCCCCCACCAGCACGACCTGTTCTGTTCTTCTGATATATTTTGTACCCTAGGACAATCAACGGGACACAGTCATCATTCTACCAAGTTTCCACAATGCCTATTGTATCAATATCCTCCTTTAATACAAGGCACTCTAGTTCACCCATCTTATAATGGTGGTGCATGATGAGGGGCTGACCTAGAATCTAGCACGGGAACAGATAGGAACCAGCAGCAGGCAGCATATGAAGCCTCTGAAGTAATCTGGTGCTGAAACTAGTTTGCAAGAAGGCTTAGCAACAGGAACTGCAGTAGCACATCCTGGGACTGTACTCAGGAGATATTTGATGCCTTCTTGGAGGATTAGCCAGCAGCAGAAATAGAACAGGCAAAAATTGTTCCAGGGCCTAGTAAGTTTCTAGAGTCATTTTTGTGTAATATTAATATAACTCTGGGAGAGATTTCCAATTTATGAACCAATGCAAAAATTATTACAAGCTCTTGGTACAATGTGTATCTGCTTATGGTGGATTGCATGTCAGAGCCTTGGCATCCCCACACCCTGCCACATAAAATTCAAAATGGAAACCAGGAACAACAAAGAATGAAACTGCATTTCGATGAGAAATTTTACCAAAAAAGCTCATACTTTTGGTAGGATATGCCAGTTTAAGAATTAAAAACTTATATTGTCTGCCCAGTAAACATGCTGCTCCAAACCAGGCCAATGGTGCAATGACCCACCTGAAAACAAAGAACTCTGTGTGGGGGGGAGGGGGAAGAGGACTGAAATATAGTCCATATCCTCCATGGATAAGTCATTTGTCCAAAATAGAGATGGGGGAGAGGTGATGAATGTAGTCCAGAAATGTGCCGGAACAGAAGGGTGTTCTCTGTGTTGTATGTAGTCCTAGCAAGCTGTGGGGAGGTATCAAGGCATAGCATCCTATTGATTCCCTTTTGAGTTTTCACCTAATATCAGGTGTTGAAAGTTGTGAACTTTTTCCTATTGTGTGAACTCTGGAGGGGTAACCACAATCTGGGGAGGAAATATTTTTCCGGGCCATCTTTAGTGGCTGACCAACTTACTCCACTCAGATGTGCTGTTCAGTCATCCTGAGTTTGAATACTTCGGTTACCTACACACCTGTCTTGCCACCAGCAGCTTGGAATAAGATTCGCTTTGCCCTCTGGGCACCACAAGAACTGCAAAGTTCTCCAAAATCTGGAATGCCTAAAATGGTAGAGAAGGCTCGTGTAGCATGCTGTAGTCACCACCCTCTCCCAAAGGCAAACTGGGGTGCAACTTGAAAAAAAAAAGCAGTTGTGATTTTTACCTTTTCACTGCAGTTAAATTGACTGTATCTAGGGAGTGCCTGTGTTCTAGAAGTGTCCCTTTAACATATTGAAGTTAAGCGTTACTGAGTAACATTTTAGGTTCTGGACATTCTAAAAGGATTTTTTCTCTGCTTGTGCATTGAGCTACTAGAAACAATAACCTTCTCTACAGGTACCTTACCCATGTGTAAGTACAGTAGAAGCTTTGGTCAATGTACCATTATGGTGCAAGAGGAAGCCTTTCACGTTGAATTTATGGCTGACACTGTGGATAGGGCCAAAAAGAGAAGGTATTATTCAAGTCAAAAGGTGACACAAGCAGAGAGGCACAGGCTGTAGAACTTGAGGCTGGTGTTGCTGTAAGAGAGCAAATGCTTGGAACTGGAATAGGAGATACTGCAAAGGGAGGGGAAAAAAGCACAGCAGAAAGTCCGGGAGTGGATGTTTTGGCTAATGGCTTTTCCTGAACCTGGCTCCCCATCCAAGTACAGTACCATGTGCTGCAGACCAGGAACTTTTTGCACAATTCCATTGCTGGGTAGCCTATGCAGCTGGGCCTTAGCAGTGGCTGGATAGAGGAAATGTATCCCATGCAACTCTTGATGCTGAACCCCTCCTCTGTGGATGCCTCCACCCCGCTTCCCCCACGATCTCCATAAACATGGAAACAATGGCAAGGGGGTCAGGGGACACAACAGGAAAGAGGCTCTGACTTGGAGTTGGTTTCATTGTTTGCACAGTTCATATACTTAGTTTTTGTTTTGTAAAACATTTTACTCTTGTTAATGTGCTAATGACCACTGGCCTGTCAGTCAATGGTTTCATAGAGTGTTTTTCTAATAATTGTTTAAAAATAAAGGGTTATATTTTATTAAGAAATGTTTCAAACAAAAGGAAAATGCATGATGAGAGACAACTAAAAGGTTTTATGGAAATGATGTTTCCCAGTACAGGTATCTACATCAATCACTACTATAAATTTTGCAGTTCTTGCGACTGTTCCCTTTTTGCCACCATTTTATAAGAGGTCATTGCCATTCCTAAATACAGTGCATGGCAGTCAACATCCTCCTGCAGTGAGCTCCCCATGGCTCCCAAACTCACCACAGCTGCCAGGAGTCAAGGGGAACTCACTGCTGGGGCCTGGAGCCATAGGGAACTCACCATAGCTCCCAGAAGCTGCAGAGAACTCACCATGGCTCCCGGCAGCCACAGGGAACTGCAAGTGGTTCCTGAATTCACAGCGGCTCCTGGCAGTGGGTTCCCTATTGCTTCCAGCCATGGGCCCCCAGGCCAGGATGGGGGACACTTGTGAATACACAAGACTATGAATTGCAAAGATCTCCTGTGTATATTTTTAATGAAATGTAACCATTTCTTGAGGCTTTGATATCTTTAAATAGAGGAAAAATAACCACTCTTGAAAAGTGTTCTATTTTCTGATCATTGCAAGGAATGACATGCTGTAGATTCTGAATAAAACTATGCAGTATAGATAAAGAAATAATTCATTTAAAGAATTCTGGTAACAAAATAAACTAGAGGGCTGTGTCTAGACTGGCCAGTTTTTCCGGAAAATCAGCCGCTTTTCCAGAAAAACTTGCCAGCTGTCTACACTGGCCGCTTGAATTTCCACAAAAGCACTGACTTTCTACTGTAAGAAATCAGTACTTCTTGCGGAAATACTATTCTGCTCCCATTCGGGCAAAAGTCCCTTTTTCGCAAAACTTTTGCGCAAAAGGGCCAGTGTAGACAGCTGAGATTTGTTTTCTGCGAAAATGGCGATTGGGGCTTTTTTGTGGAAAAGCATGTCTAGATTGGCCATGGATGCTTTTCCGCAAAAAGTGCTTTTGTGGAAAAGCGTCCGTGCCAATCTAGACGCTCTTTTCCGAAAATGTTTTTAACGGAAAAGTTTTCCGTTAAAAGCATTTCCGGAAAATCATGCCAGTCTAGACGTAGTCCATATGTGAAAGTAAGTGGATTATTAATGTCACCACTTTCTGCCAGTGCCACTTGTATCTTGAATTCAGATATATATAATGTTTATAATGCGTTACTTTTTCATTCCAGCTTCTATGCTATCCCCTCAAGCCTCTTTCCAGTCTTCTCTGACTACTTCTCTTGCTACTGCCTATCATACCTTCTCTTTTCTGCTCCTCTTCTGCTACTATCCAGATACACATTTTGGTAGCACTAAGTGATTCCTGTTAAACATCGTGGGATAAACATGACAGGTAAAAATAAGCCTCTGTTTTCCTTTACAGCACAGACAGGTCAGTCTGTCTCACCAGACTGACTACATAACTCATGTAGAACAAAAATTTTTTACACCCTATCACTTAGCTATGAAATATTGGTGGCTATAAATGTCTTAGGAATTCAGAGAAGGAAGAGCAATACAGATCAGAGGTAAATTCCTGTCCTCCTCAGACTAAGTCAATGGCAATGCCCCCATTTATCTCATGGGGGCCAGACTTAAAAACTCCGTGTTTGTAAGGTAAATAGGTCTCAAACTGTTAAATGGAGGAGATAGAAAGTCACAGGAGATATACTGGATGATGGAATTCAGTTCTGCAAGATAAACACATCCATATACTTACGAGAAACAATATGGCTACTGTGGATGATCTGCTACTCTGTAGTTTATACCTGCTAAGTGACATTGGTGCAATATTCCACTGTAGATGCAATCTCAGTGACATCACAAATACCACAGATTGCAGTGGAATTTCTGGTGTCTTATGCTACTGTAAAGTGTTCTGGGATATCTTCAGTGAAGCAGGAAATGCTAATGAATTTGAGAGGCCCCAAAAAAGTTTTAAAATAAAGGTTAGTTACAATTTTGCTGCTTAATTCCCATCCAGAGTCTAGTCACTAGAACCCTGTTCAGATACAAAAATGTGGATCCATATCTGATCCGCATTCGCCAGGCTTAACTCATAATTTAATCCGAAATCTGGATTTTACTTGCATCTGCACAGCAAACCATCTGGAGTGACAGGGAAGCGGGGAGGGAGCACAGATGAGCAAGAATGGGAGAAGAGGCAGGCAGTATGAAAGTGGAGACGGAGTAAGAAACAGTAAGGACTAGGGGTATGGGACAGCAGGTACCCAGGGTCAGAGCTCCACAGGGTCATTGCTCACCAGGCAGTGTGAGGAGAAAGGTCAGGCAGAGCCAGCACTTGGCTCCTCCTGCAGGGTGATTTAGGATGGAACTTGTGCCCTTTCCCTGCCAGCAGTATAGCAGCCTGCCCTGGCACCTCCCGTCCCCCCACCTGGCAGCTGTTGGAGGGCTGATGGGCGGAAAGCTCTGTGCAGGTATCTGTTCCACTATCTTCAGATATCCGCATCCACAGACATGAAGTGGATATCTGTGGATATGCAGAGGTCTATTAGTCACTAGTCCACAAATCTGGGATTTTAATTTACTTTTCAGTTTAGGTTTTGCAATTCATCAATGTCAACCTCAAGTCTTGAAAAATTATGTCTCAAGCACTCAAATATGATTTATTTTAAAATTCCAATGATTTTAAAGCCATATAAATTGGGTTCTATACACCATCTGGTTTTTGAGCCCTTACAGCTCACTTGGATCCAAAGTTTGCTGTAAGAGGTGCAGAAGCATGGCCTGTAGCTACTTAATAAGCCCTGCCCAGTCAGGGGCTTAGGACTCCATGCACAGAGTTGCCTGGCTGGAGGAGGACCTCAGCAGGGAGCTGCTGCTGTAGCTGAGGGAGAAATGCCCTTCCCCCTGCACAGAGCCCTGAACCCCTGGCTGGAGCTCATTAAGCAATTGTGGTGCCATGCTATTGCACAGCTTAGAGGGAACATTGCCTGAGTCATATTTTCAGGTTTTTCTTCACAACAACAAGGAACATAAACTTACTTGAGAAGGAAAAACATTCCATGAGAATCTCAACAAATCAAATGATTGGAACTACGGCTTCAAAAAATACCAAATATCACAATACTCTTAATAAAATTGTGAGAGATGTCCACACTGAAAATGGTTCAATCTTAAAAAGTAAAGGGTTTTGTTTTTCATGTGTACCACTGTAGGTTAATGCTCCATAGCTCCTGAACATGCAAATTAATACCTTCACTCATGTTAGTTTATGGTAATAATGTATACTACAATGACAAAGCAATCATACCTGTTTGATAAGTTTGCCCAATAAAAAAGGGTAATATTTGAACAGAAATATAGTTTATCTCCAAGTGTCTGTGTATTAGAAAAAACTGAAGATTGAACAGGAATAATGTTGTACTATAGAAAGTATTTTACACTGTTCCTTGGATAGAACTGCCATCAGTTCTGCAAATTGATGACTGCATACACCAGAAATTATGGAGATTATTAGGCTTTTGTTATGTATTGTAAAAATGCACACATATGCCACCTACCCACAGGGCAGGTAATCATACATGCTACATTGAGTGCAATAAACAGGATAGCCCCCACTCGGCTGCTGCCTGCATTCTTCCCTGCAGCTACTTAGGTTATTGATAGGGTTGTTATTTAAATCAGGAAGTTTTGTTGTTAGTTTAGATGAAAAGTTTAAAAAAATGGCAAGTGCACCTCACCCCCTTCCAACTCCCCCTTGAAATAAAGCCCTAGCCTTCCTGCTAGCCCTGGCTAAGGCTTGACCAATGAACAGAGGGGTCTACAATTCAAATCCTTGTTAAGAAGCTCAGAGCACATGGTCATTCAAACAAACAGCTCAGCACTTGACTCTCCAACCACCCAACCAACCAGACAGACAGACAAACATAAGCTCATCACACAGTTTCTTTCAGGCAACTAGCAAGTAACCCCCAAACACAAACACACACTACCGACAGCCACTTATCTCAAGGATCCAGTATTTGCTCCTCCTTCACCTAGAGAAGTCCCTCTCAAAACTCCGTTAGCTGCCCCCGTTCACAAAGCTGATTTGTATTGGAAAATTACCTGCTCCTGTTTGACTCCAATCCTGAGGAATTGAAGTGTACAGCCTATGTGAAGTGACCTATGTGAGAAAATAAAAACACACATCACATTTTAATGCCATACTATTTATAGTCAGTCACTTAATGAGTGGATAGATGCCCTCTGGTGAATGTTGTTTTCAGCTCACATTATCACTGAATTTGTTTTCCCTTTTTTAGGTTTTATATTATTGTACTTATGAATTGGATGTGTTATTTTCTGTTCAAAACCTGTCACTAAACTCTTCAGGCACTGACAGGACTCTCTCAAATAAAACCATACTTTGATGCCTTGGATAGTGATAATTGGGAAGGAAAGGACAGATCATCTCCAAGTTTCCTCACTTCAGGATGCAAGAAGGGTAGAGGGATTCCCTTATGGGAGCCCTATTAGGAGTCCCAGGGAGCAGAGAGTAAGTAGTGAAATGAAAATGCTCCCTGCACTCCTTTTTTATTTTATTTTATAACACAAATCTTATGTTAGGTCTATGTCATGATTTCATATGTAGAGGGTTCGCAGAACTGCAAGCTTCCCAACTCTGAGAAGGGAAGATGTTGCATTGTGCATCTCCTACTTAGCGCTTGGGAGGAAGGATCTGTTTCCTCAATGTACACACTGATCTTCTCCCACCCCAAGCAGAAGGCTCAGCAGCTGCTTGGGACACAGCATCCCCTAGGTAGGGGCACACAACCCAGGTAGCCTAATCCTTGAATTGCATAGCACATTAATCTCCCACACAGTTTTCCAATTCAGGAGCAGGAGAGACAATATTCAACACAAGGGCTGTGTCTAGACGGGCCAGTTTTTCTGGAAAATCAGCCACTTTTCCGGAAAAACTTGCCAGCTGTCTACACTGGCCGCTTGAATTTCCGCAAAAGCGCTGACGATCTCATGTAAGATTGTCAGTGTTCTTGTGGAAATACTATGCTGCTCCCGTTCGGGCAAAAGTCCTTTTGCGCAAAACTTTTGCACAAAAGGGCCAGTGTAGACAGCCCAGATTTGTTTTCTGCAAAAAAGCCCCGATCGCAAAAATGGCGATCGGGGCTTTTTTGCGGAAAAGCATGTCTAGATTGGCACGGACGTTTTTCCGCAAAAAGTGCTTTTGCGGAAAAGCATCTGTGCCAATCTAGCCGCTCTATTCTGAAAATGCTTTTAACGGAAAACTTTTCCGTTAAAAGCATTTCCAGAAAATCATGCCAGTCTAGACGTAGCCATGGTGTGGGGATGGGAGGGAGGGGGGAAAGGGGGAGAGCAGCAGGCTTAGAGGAGACAGCAGGAGCAGTTCTGAGTTGATAGTGGGGGATAGTACTAGTCTGATAGGGGGAGAAAAGAGGGTGGTAGGCTGATGGTGGGACCGGGCCCAGAGTGGGGGGGGGTGGCATGAGGGAGATGGAACAACACTAAGCTGATAGAGGGACAGGGTGGCTAGGTGCCTGCTATTCGACTGGAAAGTCGGGTTGAAAAGGGGACCTGGTCTGATCTTATGACTGGACCCCCCACCGTCCAGTTACTGTGGGAAGGGGGGGGCAACTCATCACCTGTGCCTGCCCCTTTTTAGCCAGGGCCACCTCCTACCTGCATCAGGTGGCTGCAGCTCCCCAGCCTGACAGAGGGGAAGAGCAGTGTGCAGGGGCGGGGCAGCAGGGCCGAGAGGGGGCAAGAGCAGGACCTCAGGTGGAGAGGTGGTGCAAGGCGCAGCCTCGGGGAAAGGGGGCAGGGCAGGGGCCACTCCTGTGGACTGCCCGCTTTTTAAATATTACACGCTGGGACCCTATGGGGGGTGGGGAGGGGAGTAGGCTGACAGGTGGGGGGGGGGGCAAAAGCAAGAGGCGGCGCTAGGCTGAGGGGAGAGGCAAAACGGGGGCTACCATCCTGAGGCCCGGGGGAAGGGGGCAGCAGGCTGGTGGAGAGGGCGGTGCCTGGTGCCCACGTCCCTTCCGTTCAGTGATCCCTGGCGTTCTCGCTGCGCAGCAGTTGAACGGTTAACGAGGAGGCGTCGCCCTCGCCTCGCACGCGGGGCCGCAGGCAAACACAGTGCGAAGTCAGCAGGCTGCTGCTGTCCGCTTCCCCAGGAGCTGCGTGGGCAGCGGCGGGGCCGGCTCG